TAATCTCTTGCTTTTCTTTCCTGATTTCTTACATCTGGGGATCAAGAGCTTTTGTACTCTTTGGAAAGTGTCCTTAAAGATCTGTCAGCTCTGTTCTGCTCCCTTGTCCCTGAGAGCGGTTTCCCAGGGGGTCCTGTCAACTTACTCCTTGAAGAGCTGGAAGTTTGCTTTCCTAAAATTCAGGGTCCTGACTTTACTCTTTGCCTGACCCATATCCCTCAGGACTGCAAACTCCACCAGTGCATGATCACTGCAGCCCAGGCTGCCTCCAATCTTGACATCACTAATTAGCTCACTTGTGTTGGTGACCAAGAGGTTGAGTATTGCATCCCTTCTGAATTGCCTATAGCTTGCTGTGCTACTTTTCCAGGAGATTTTGGGGTGGTTGACATCCTCCAGCAGGATGAGAGCCTGCGAGCATGATTCCTCCTGTAGCTGGAGTAAGAAGGCTTCATCAATAGGCTCATCTTGATCAGGCAGCCTGTAGTAGACACCAACCACAAAGTTCCCTTTGTTGTCTCAGTCCCTATTTCTTACCTGCTTGTGACTATTCTTCAGAGACAGCTCTTCACGCTCCATCTGTTTTCTGATGTAGAGGGCAACCCCTTCATCCCCCTTTCCTTGCTTGTCCCATCTGAACAGCCTGTAGCTATCGATAGCCACACTCCAGTCATAAGATTTGTCCCACCAAGTTTCAGTAATGGCAACTAGGTCATAGCTTTCTAGCAGCACGGTGGCTTCCAGATCCTCCTGTTTATTACCCATGCTGTGTGCTTTAGTGTAGAGGCACTTCAGCTGGGCTGTTGACCATGTCACCTTCTTAGAGAAACACCCCTCTAGTAATTAAGATAGCCACCCTTAACACCCTCTGCACATAATGAAAAGAAAGAGGTACTTTTCCATCTCGTTTTATCCCTCTTGTTTTAGACAGCTGCTTTAAGAGTTGATTAGGTCCCTAAAAGTGCTTATTTATTTCCAGTGGTTGTAACGACAATCTAGGCAGCTACTATAGGCATCTAAGTTTGATCAGATGAATAGCAATCCAGAGGAACATTCACCTGCACAGGGAGTAATAGAAATCAGGATCATAACTCTGGTAAGAAAGTATGCTCAGGACTGCACATGCAGCTAGTGCACCTACAGGTGCTCATAGGTCAGTAAAAAACAAGTACTGGCCACAATAAATTGGCAACTTAAACAAAAAAAAAAAAAAATAAACACAACATTAAGAATGGGCAGAAATTGCTAAAGTATAGGTATTTGTCACTGATATTTCAAATCCAGCAAAAATAGGTAGTGAAGATGCAGCTCCATTAACTCATTTGGATCTTCTGGTGATTCATACCAGAGTTCAGGAGGAAAAGAATAGATTCATCAATATTTGAGTAGGTCTTAGACAGAGGAGCCAACATGAGTTAGACCTGGTTGTACAAATAAATCTTTCCATAACAATGAATATAATTTTTTAGTCTTTTAATATTCTGTGTGTGTGCTTATAAAAAAGGGATGAGTTACTTTCAGATATGGCAATGTCCACACACACATGTGCACAAAAACCCGAGAAAGAATAGAACGTGAGTTTAAAAATTAAATATAACTCCATGGCAATGATATTTGTAGCAAGTGAAGGACAGAACACAAGATTGCTATTAAATAAATCATAATTTATTACATGTGCCTGTATTTGGATGCCCAGTTAAGTACCTAATTACATGAAAAATGCAATTGCCATGTAAAGCGATGTTAATTTTCAGACACACCTGCTGAGCTTTGGGTTGTCATTCAGGTACCTGCTTAGTTGCATGCTGTTGTGTACCACCTGCAGAAAATACTTATGTGCCTGTCAGGAGTCTGGTACAGGTTATTAGTGAAGAAAACCATTGCTTTGCAGATTCAGAAGGCAGTCCCATGGTCTATCCAACATAGCTGACAAATTTCATTACAATTCCTAACTGGAGCTCTGGCAGTGCAGCTTTTTTTTGTTTTGATGAGAGGGTGTACAGGGACAGCCCTTTCACTGCTCAGACTGTAGATGCTTTTGTTTTCTTGGATTTCATCTCCAGTTGATGAGTCCTCCACTATGCTTACCTAAGGTTTTTTTTATTCTTTTTTCTACTTCCTTGACACATGTTGTATGCCATTAGAGAGCAAAAAATACTGCTAGAACTTCTATTTTTAGTGTTGGTCCATTTGCTTTGTTGATTATCATCCTAACTGTCAAAGAAGTGAAATGGCATTGCTTTGCAGTACCTGTGCTCCATAGTACTAGCTTTCACATTGTTCTTTGTTTCCTTGACAGGTAGAAACTGTTTCTGTTTTTCCTCATGAATGCTTTATGTGTGATATGGAACAGCACATGGTGACAGCTAAAATGTAGCGAGGCACTAAAGGACATTCCTCAAATGTGTTTCTTTGCCCTTTCTTCACATTGAAGATGTTAATAAAACTCAGGACTACCTATGTTTTTCTATGGAGGATAGGATTTTTACTGCTTAAATATCTCCACACTCTTGTAAATATTACTTAGGTGACAGAAAGTGTGGATTCATTCTGGGAAGAGTGTCTGATTTCTTTCACAACTTTGGCTTTAACATGTTATTTAAAAAGCTTATTTCTTGGACCAAAAGTAACGTTGTCTTACATATTCATCCATTTTATTCTAAATTGCAGGGCATGAGGTAGAGGGAATGGAGCGCTATATGATTGTCCTGGCAAGGGGCATGTAAACATTGAGGGAGGACATATAGGGGGACAGGAAAAAAACTAAAAATGTGGTGGGGCAACCACTAATTTCCAATGAACTGAAGCCTAAGAGCTTTAAAGAGGACTTTACAGCTGTCCTGTTTCAGGATATTGTTCGGTGAAATACCAGATGTTGGTGCTGACAGCTTCTGGAGAAACATACACATTTGACAGACTGCAAATATTTCTGATTAATATAGTTAAGCTTTCAACAGCCACCAGGCAGCAGGATGGTTCTTGATGGTTGGTGGTGCACCAGTTCCCTGAGCAACTGCCTTTCTTGCCTTCTCATCCTCATCCAAGGGAGTTTGCCTGTGCAGAGGCATTAGGTGGTTGAGAGCCAGTTCTTAAGGTCCCTGAGCAGATGATGTGTGGACAGCTCAGCTCTCCCTCCCTCCAGTAGTGGAGAGTGCTCAGAGGTACATGTCTTGGTGTCCACAAGGCTGAGACCAAAGAAGAAACTTCTGCTCTTAGTCTCCCAACATGTAGTTATTTTTCTCTCACAGATGTTATCTGGCTTTTTAAAAAATTCCATACTTGAAGGGCAGTTGATGTGACAGTGGTGGGAAATACCCACTACAGTTTTCCAGCACTCTTCACAGAACATAATCATGGGCCCTGTATGACCCGTTTCCATCAAGGGTTCCTAGATGCCTCTCTGTCAAATTATGTCATTGTCACTAACTGGATGACTTAATTTTAGCTGGAGAAAAGAGAATCTGTCATCTCTTCAGATTGTATAAAACAATGACACAGTGCTTTTCATCTATTTGCTTTGTCTTCATCTACTGAGAAAAGCTAGACCTCTCTCCAGAAAGCAGTTTTCTCTCATGCATTCATCATTCTCTTGACTCCACAAAGTTGAGGACTCTCTGCCTCAGCCCTGTTTTTCAAACACAGATGCCTGTCGGCCTGTGCAGAGCTCTGTGCCATGGCTAGACTGCTCCACATACCTGAGCTGCAGAAAGCAATATTTGCTGCTGCAATGCTGGGCCAACCTCCAACTTATGCTATTGATGCATGCTGCACTTTTTGCCATGCTTTAGGGAAACAACAGCATGAGAAGATGGCCATGATTAGGATGTTGATCTTTAGGTGCTGGCGGACAGGCAAGCAGACATAGATGATGGCAGCTGAGCAGCTATTTAAAAATGACTGTGATACCAAAACCTTTCTTCAAGTCTAGCTTGCAAAACCAGCTCTCTGGGGTCCATGAAAAATGTAACATCTCCTATACTTCTGAATTTCATGGAAGAGCACTGGGCCACCTCCAGACCAAGGTGCAAGTGAATGCAACGGTTTAGTTCTCAGTCCTGGTCCCCAAGGCTTCTAGTCTGGGCATCTGGCTGAATGCACCAGAGCTCCACTCTGGCTTCTAAACCTACATTCCCCAAACACCACAGCACTGGAGAGGTGCTGAAGGGAGGAGGACATCTCTGCCACGGAGTGTGGAAGCATGGACCTAAACTGGGAAGTTGTAAGGTTGGACATGATCTGCTGAGTCCTATAGAGGATAGTGAACTCAAAGACAAGATAGCAGCAGGTTTTTTGCACAGGATTTTTTGATACTTTCTGGGTTGTGTCGTCTTCTCTTTCACTTTTCCTTGTACTATCAGCGCTGCAAAACCAGATAATAAAAGATGTAGTAAATGCAAAGCATTTTGCTCTCTCCAACAGGAATTACCTGATTTATAGATGTTTGAGAAGATAAAAAAAATTGTGAAAGTAACCATAAAAGAGTTTCCTGATCAAATATTTCAGACAGTAGTTCTCTGAAAAAGAAATGCAGTCTTAAAAAGCTACAAAACCAACACAGAAGCACACATACATCCATGCATACATGTGCAAATATAGAGAACTATAAAATATATTACACATACAAACTCAGCTTTATTCCAGTATATACTTATGAATTAAATTCCAACTGACTGAATTAAATAGAAAAATTTCAACTACATTAAATGGAGTCTAGTTTTGTGTATGCATTTGTACATGACAGAAGATTCATGTATTCATAAGAAACTAAAAAGCTATCATTCATATGTAGGTATATATCAGCTAAATAATGATGGCCTAATCATGTTGTTTTGTTAGGCAAAAATAGCATTTTCAATCTCTTCTTAGGATGATAGCATTTTAAGTATATTTTTGCTCTCCATTTACATACTAACTTCACTAAAAGGAAATAAATTGAGTAAGAGGAAATGCATCTGCTGTGTACATATTTAATCCCTTCTCTTTTTGTTCCTTTCACACAGAGATTGAAAGATTTAAAACAAAGGGAATTTGCTCGAAATGTGGCTTCAAAGTCATGGAAAGATGAGAAGAAACAGGAAAAAGCACTCAAGCGTCTCCACCAGCTTGCAGAGTTACGGAAGCAGTCAGAATGGCAAGTATTTAAAATTTATATTACTCTTTAATTCCATCTCCTCAGTCCCAGAAGAAATTCCATATTTTTACTCCTACACTCTGTAATGTACAGAGATTGTGTATACTGTAGCCAGTTTTCAGCTGTCCCCAACTCCAAATGTTCCTGTTCTGCAAACCATAAAATTGAAAGCCCCTGAATTAATTACTTGCTATTTGAAGGTCTGTGTTTTTCTCCCTGTAGCTAGTTAATCTCATCACTTCTGAACTGAATGGTCTGAAGATGTTTTTATAATATCACCATTTTTGGGTATTCAAACTAACCTGGATAGATTAGTATAACTGCCTTATCATTTGATTGTAAGTGAACGGGAGAGGAAAAACACCTTTTAAAGCATCTGTACTTAGTCTGTGAATCATTTTCACTACTTTTAGTATACTGAGATTATTCTCATACTTTCTCTGTAGACTAATGGAAGCAGAGTTATGTGAATGAAAAACAAGTGATTAACTGAGTTAAGTTTATCCAATACTGTTAGCTCTATTGATGAATATCAAGATACAGTACAAAGTTTACACTAATAAACCTTTACATTTGAGAAATCTTCTTTGTTTAATGACACTTAATGCTTCACTAGAATAGACTGTCACCAGACCAATTGTTTATGTTAATCTATGACCATAATGAGTTAAGTAGATAATTAAACTGGCATTCTTTAAAATTTGTATCAAGCTTACTGTAGCCTAGAAATAATAACATTTGGAGTTTCTTATACACTCATTTTGGCCTATGTAATTGCTTTTGAGTAATCTGCTGAAATATAACATTTTAGTGCTAATGTATCACTTTTATGGTTACAACTCCATTTTCATACAAATCTACTGAAAGAAATGTAAGCGCCTGTGGGAAGATGCCTTTATGCCCACACACTTGAAGATGTAGTCTCAGATAGATAGACCAATAAGGTCAGTGATAATAGCAAAGCCGGAATGATACTGGGAGGGAGAAAACGGGTTTGCTTTTTGAAAGAGACAGGAGTCCGTAACCCTTTACAGAGATCCTGGAAAGACAGTGCTTGTTATTCCTGTTTGTAATGACTAATATATTCAGGGGTGGCTGAAAGTCATGATCTTGGTGGAGGAGCAGCATTCCCAGTTGCTCAGGCAAGACAGAAAGTCGGCCTTTCTAAGCAAAAGTCGACACACACACACATACTTGTTATTGTCCCTGAGTACTGTGTCTCAGGTTCCAGCAGAGTTCCTTACAACAGGCTAGTACAATTTGACAACAAAATTACTTTAAATCCCATGCACAGAAAAACTGAAAACGCAGCTTTATTTTGCTGTTCGAAGGAGACTTTGAAGAGGATCTCTTTATATGCCTACTCCAAGAGATAACAGCTTCTTGATATACAAATAAGGGTGAATTTGTATCTCCTGATACCAAATTTGTGGCAAATGCAAATATATTCTCAGAAATACATACATATTATCATACTCCAATTTGACCCTACTCCAGGGAGTCTTTATGTTGTTCCCACTGCTGAAGATCAATGCATTTTTATAGCATTTAGAAAACATGCTAGCCTATTTATAGATAGCTCTTATGCAGATCTGGCAGTTGTAATTTACTTATATTTAATTAAAATATTTTCTAATTTTTAATCAAACTCTGAACTGAAGCTGGTTCCAAATTTTTTTCATGTAAATATACTGCAGTACTGCGTTGATAGCAAATGTAGATAATTGGTCTAATGAAATGCATATTTAAACTATTACTTGTAATAACATTTGTATGGTGGTTATATATGTCTCATCTCTAATGGAAAATGGCAACAGTCATTCCAATCTAAGTTAATTCTCTATTGCAAAACTCAGTGATTTAACATGTATGTTGAAGCCTTCTTATAATACATTGATTTTTTTTTTTTAAGTACAAGAAAACTAAACCACACATTTAAAATATGACAGGTTTGGGGAAGAGGAAAAATGTAACAAATGAAGTAGAATACAGAAAGAGAAAATATGGGAAAGTCAGTCAAATGGCGGTTGATAATGGGAGTACTGAATTTGACATTAATATTGATGGAAATCCACCTTGTGTCCTTTTCCACACCAATGATTGGTGATAGTTTTAGCATTAATATCTCTTTGAATATTTCAAAAAGTCATTTATTGTAGAATAATATAAAGGTAAAATTAAAATCTACTCTTAAAAAAAATCATTCATACACCACCTACACACACGAGCAAGAAGAATGCTCTCTTTCCCCTTATAGAGTTTGATTCTACAGATACTCCAGATGGAAGTGTCTCATTTTGAACAAGGCACAATTTCATTTGAAGTGGCCTCTCAGAAAACTAAGACTTACCACAGACAGATCCTCCTTGATGTAAATTCAGAATAAAGAAAATATTGTTTATTCAGGATGTACATGGTTGTAACTCTGAAAAAAAAAGCATTCATGTGCTGACTTCAAATCATATAATTTCCTGTATGTAAAGACTGTCTTGCCCATATAGAAGCCCAAGCTCAGGGCTAGACTGCACACTTACACTTTAGAAACTTCAGAAACTTAGTTTTCCTTTGCAACAACAGGAGTGACGCCCTTTACCAGATAGACATCATCAAATGCAAGTTCTGTCTTAAGTTGGTTACTTAACACAACTTTCCTTTTTTTTTTTTTTTATTTATTACCTTACAGTATCAATGGGAGTGGACCATTGCTTAAAGCCCCCAGATTAGTCATGGAAAAGCGGGAATCACCAGATGGCATTTTTCTGTACAGGGGCAGCAAGTTCACAACCAATTCTCAAAGAACCACCCCAAGTGAAGGACAAGGTTTCTCCAGCAGTGTACTAGAGAAACGTCAACTTATCATAAGCAGGCACCAGTCCCCTACTGAAATACCCCATGCACTTGGAAATCAGATCTCACAAGTGTTCCCAGATAGCACCAATAATTCTCAACGGGCAGGAGTGTCTTTCTCATTTTCTAAAAAAGCCCTTTTGAAGCTCGAGTCCTCAGCATCAGTCTTCAGTGAGACATCTGAAGAAGGAAATGATTGTAGTGAGTCCCCCAACCATAAAACAAAGCAAGCTCCTGAGGGCTGTCGTTCTGGCACGCTTTTGGAAGAGGATGTGAAAGCAAACTTGGATAAAGGGCCACCTATTACACAAGACCAAATGGATTTGGATAACAGTGCATCAAGTCATGTAGCTGCGAAAGCTAAAATGTTAAAGGAAAATGATAAAAGTAGTGATAGAGAATTAGAAGAAAAGGTCACTGCTCATCCTTCATTTTCCAAAGTCAAAATACAGCTTTCAAATTTAGATTTTTCTGGTTCACTTAGAGAAACAGAGCAAGAGAACAAATTGAATGAGTCTGAGCAACTGTTAGAAACTTTCATTTCACCTTCATGTCAAGCTAGCAGTTTTTGTACACAGCCAAACACCTACAAGCACAGCAGTGCCCACCTGCCTGACCAGTTACCTCAGCTCCCACAACAGCCAGTGCCTGAGCTGGCGTGCGCAAGCAACATTAATGACAGTTCTGGGGTGGTAAAAAGAGAAAGATCTTTGGAGAGTTCAGAAACCACAAATAGAAATGTGGAAACACTTCCAGGGGAGACCACTGTTAAAGAGGTTAAATCCCAGGCATTGCCTTTCCTCCATGTAGTGAGCAAAGATGGCACCACTGCTCTGCAGTGGCCCACAGAATTGCTTTTGTTTACAAAAACTGAGCCCTGTATTTCATATGGCTGTAATCCATTGTATTTTGACTTCAGACTCTCTTTAAATCACAGAGATGGTAAACAGCACGAAACAAACAAAGAAAGCTGTAAAGAGCACTCTATAAATAAGACTGCAGATGAAAATGAAGCCTCAGGTTTAATAAAACACAAGCAAATGTCAAATGAACAAGATAATCAGTTGTTGAAACCAAAGAAGATGAAAGGTTCCCTAAATCCAAGAAAGGCCAAGCAAGAAGCTGAGTCAGACATAGGCAATGAAATGAATGAAAATGGTCAGAAATATATTGCAGATTATTTGAATGAAAATATACCCAAAGTGCCTGCTTACCTTGATGTCTCACAAAAGGATTATGTGAGAGAAAGAAGTCTTCATACAACATCACTCAGAAGACCTTTAAAACATAATTTTCATAGCTGTGAAAGAAAAAAACAGAACATTAGAAATGAAAGCATTTCCTTTTCTGCTTTTATGTCTAGGATTAAAAAGTCTAAAGCTGCAAAATATCATTTAGTTTATTCTGAGGAAAAATGTGAAAACCAAAATGACTGCAGATCCATTCGAGATGTGGCCAGCTGCAGCAGTGACGTAAGTGACAGTGGAAAAGACTCTAGTGGAAGTTTCCTTAGTTATAAATCAAGTTCAAACAGCACGTATTCAGAAAATGAAGGATGTGGAAGTTTAACGAGATGCTGGAGATTCCCATCTCCTCAAAAGTCCTCCTCTGACAGACATTCCATCTACTCTGACACTTCAGTTAGCGGTACGAGTAGTTACATGAGCTACGTGAGTCCCACATCAAACAATCACAGCAGAAATCATTTGCTTTTTTACTGTAAAGGAAAAAGCAAGACAGCTGAAAAACACAAATGTAAGCACAGAAAGCACAAGTGTGTATTCACTTCTGATGATACAGACAAGGATTATCTTTGCCATAGTAGAAGTCACAGAACTAGAAACTGTACACAGAGGGGAGCAATTAAATACCGAAGATGTTCAAGACATAAAGTTTTACAACACAGAGACAGATCTAAACAGAGCAGATGTAGACACCAGCATTTTGCCAAAGTGCATAGTAGAAATAGAAGTTACCATAGCTCCAAAAGTTGTTACACCAGAGATTCAAGGAGCTGTGAAACATCATCTGGTAGCAGAATGTCAAGAAGTAGCAGCTCAGGATCCTTCTCAAAAGAGACTGACAACTGTGACAAAACAAAAGAGGATGCAGAAAGAGGTTCTAACACTGAATCGGGAAAAGCTGAAACTGCACGTTATGACTCTCTGAATGTGAATGGTCAGTCAAAAAACTTTTTCACCTGCTCTTCTGAAACCATGGAAAAAGACATATGTGGAAAAAGAAAGTCACTGACAGCCAAGTTACTTTTAGAAAGAGTACAGTCAAAGAAAACCAAGGAACAAATTCACAATTCAGAGAGATTTTCAAACAGTTGTGGGGTAGAATTAAAGGATCACTCACAAAGTCACTTTGCCCTTCAGTTTTCATCATCAGTAGATGACACTGCAGTGTTACCTTTGCAAGAGAAACTGCTAAGCATAGGTGAAAATGACACAGGCCATAATGAAAGGAGTTCGTTGGAAACCAGTGTGAAGAAAACCAACTTTGAAGCATCAGAGATAACTAATGTTGCTCTTTCAACAGGCACTGATTATGATCATTGTCTTTTTAAAGACATCATTCAAATAGGAACAGACTATCAGAGCCCAAGCATGAAAAGGAACACAGCAATAAAGGAACAGTCCAATCTCTTCCTTAGTGAAGTACAACCCTTTATACAAAGCTGTGACCCAGTACCAAATGATTTCCCTGGTGCTTTTCCATCTAACAGATATTCTGTTGTTGCTAATTCAACAGAGACCAAAGAAGAACTACATGATGTAAACGTGGACTCAAACCGGGCAGAAGGCAGTTCAGACTCTCTTTGTGACAATGCTATGCAGAAGTATGATGACACAGTAAATGACCTAGAAGTGTACAGTAAATCCACCTCCCCTTCTTTAACGCAGCAGCCTATCACGTTTTCACCGGAGGAAGTAGACAAATACAGGTTGCTGCAGCTGCAAGCCCAGCAGCATATGCAGAAACAACTTCTGGCAAAACACCTGAAAGTTTTGCCTGCCCCAGGACCAGCTGCCTTCTCTGCAACACCAGCAGTTCCTGCCCTCCCTGTCCAGCAGCATGCTACTGTCACCACCATCCACCACACACTGCTGCAACATTTTGCTGTCTCGGCATCCATACATCCCCATGGCAGCCATCTCTCCCTGGCACACCTCCACCCCCTCTCTCAGGCACATTTTGCCCCCATATCACTTTCCCCATTAGCGCCTGCCCTCATTCCCACCCACCCTGCTTTGCTGACAGGACACCCATTGCACTTGGTCTCCACCACCCCCCTCCAGCCTTCCCCACTGACCTTCCCTGTAGTGCCACACACTGCATATATCCCAGCCTTATTTACACCACACCTGAATGCAGCCACACAATCTGCTATATATCCAAATCCCTTAGTTCATCCATTATTGCAAGGGCAAGAGCCCCATCACCATTCTTGCTCTAGCCAGACTCAAGTTACCTACAATAAAAGAGGTTTTCAGTGTATCTAGCTATTTAAACTAGCCCCAAAAATTACACCATGGCTCCAAACCCAAATTTGAATAAAATAAATTATTCAGTGTTCAATCACATGTCTGAGGGGAAATGTAATGTTTTGCTGAGAGCACAATGGCAAATATTTCAAAGTCCACATTCTGGCTGACAGCATATGAATGTTGATTTAGTTCTCATACCACTGAGTAAAAACTGGTTTAAAGCCTTTTATCATACTATCACAAGGAGGATGGAGTCCAGCTAGTGTCATTTGACAGAAGGTTTGAAAAGAACAGCCTGAAGTGAAGTGTGTGACTGTCAGTAGGACTGGGACCACAGCACCCAGGCACAACAGGACCAAGAATATCAACACTGACGAGCGACTTAAAGTAGCACAATTTAAGGTAGAGCAATCTTGACACACCTCAGAAGTTTGCTTTTCTGAGAGTGTATATGCAACAGGATAGTACTTGGTGTGGTTAAGGTATTTCAGACTGAGCAAAAAAGAAGGTACATGGGACTACAAGTCCCTGGTTCTGTCTCCTGGCCAAAATAAACTGGTGAGCCTAAGAGTGAGGGGTGATGAGTTAACACTGGAAAAATAGGGTCACAGCAACATCTCAAAGATACCTTATTGAATTTATCCTTGGGATGTGTTGCTTGGACACTGTAAAGGGACTGCTGTCTGGCCACAGGTACCTAACAAAAAATGCCCATAGTGTAAGGGAACACTGTGCTGGCACAAGCAGGCTGCTACTTTTCTCCCTGAGCTAAGCATCCCAGAAGGCAAGGGAAAGAAGGGAATAAAGACAAGTTCTTTGGCATTGCCTGCCTGTGGCTGTAGCACGGGCTATGACAGGGGTGGGCTGCAGCATCCCGGAGCTGCCAAGCAGCTAGTGCTGGCTTTGAACCTCTGAGGTCCTTGGCAAAGACTGCAAGATTTCTTTCCTACCAGTGCTCTGCCATGTGGGAGAGTCTTGCCCAAAGAATGTGTAAATATGTGTCATCCCTTTCACGAAAAATTGGCTGGTCCTGTAAAATCAAACTGATATTCATAGAAATGCAGAAGTAAAATTCTGCGCCGAAACTGCCTCTCTAGGTCAAGTTTCATAGAAAACCATGTCACAATTCTCAGCATTTCATGGTATATCAAATCTAAACAAATGTGTCAAGATTCTTGCATGGCTTCCCAAACTCTCAACATACAAATTGAAGTTCTGAATCTGCAATGTTTGAATGCATGTATCCAACCTTCAGAGTAGTGCGTGGTTGAAATTTCTAGTAATAACTGTGTATCTGGGAAAAGGTGAGGGCTTCAGCATCTTTTTGAATGGCACATTTTGACTATTTTTATAATGTTTCTAACTCAACATGGGATATTAAGCATGGAATTAAGTTCATAATTGTGGTTAGAGTGAAGGCATGCTTCCCAATATAATTGGACAGTGAAGCGTCCAACAGACACTACCTGTTTGTTTGGATAAGAAACATTTGAAATAATTTCAATTAATTTACAATACGGTAGTGCACAATTAATAATGTATCTTTCAGAATCGATGTAAAACATATTAAAAAACTTTTGGAGGATTTTATTCCATTATATTTGGCTATCTGAAGAAGCTGAGAAATCTAATTGCAATTAAGTTGAGCATTTAAAATAGAACTTAGGGCCAATTTTCTAACTTAGTTTTAATCAAACCAGATTGATCCATTGCAATAGAATGGAATTATTTCAATTTTTAAAAGCAGCTGCTTCAGCATAAACTGATATTATGCTAAACTTTTCAAACAACGTTATAAGTTGTGACTGCATGTTTTGTGTTTTCAAAGTTAAAGTTGTTTTGGATACTTAACATTTTAGCCATCAAATAAAAGCTGTAAAAAAAACATCTGGAGACTGAGCAGAAGTGAAACATTTTTGTATTGAAAAAGATTAGTGAAGCCAGCACCCTTGGATATCTTTTGGTTGGATTCCCAGCTGATTTATTAATTTCATTAACAAAATGGATTCGTGCCATTTTGAGGTTACTTATCTTTATGATTTAATTTTCTCATTTTAATTGTAGGGAACTTTCCTTTCATTTCTGACTGAAAATACTACCAAAATAAGATCTGAATTTACATATAATTTCTATGCTTCTGAAACTTTATTTTCTGAGAATCAAACATATTTCACTGAATGTGACTTAACACCTCTGAAAATTAATACTTGCTTGCTTGGAAGGAGATCCCTCACATAGTGGATGACTTGGAAACATTAGTTATAATTCTGTAGAAACACTCTGAATTGGATATTTTAAAGGAGCAGGTCAACCTGTGCCCTACAAGAGGCTCACTGATCTGCACAGCCATCACCACCACTTCAGGGCTAATACCAGCCTCAAAGATGCATTTCCAGACCTACAAACTTTTAAATTTATGGTCCCAGTTCTTCCTATTCAAGAAAAGCCAACTGTTCTCACTGTGTATAAAAGTTCCTCTGAATCCTAAGTAGATAACACCAAGAGAAAAAATTGGAACAGAAGAAATGACAGGTTAATCTCATCTTTAATGTGTACACACACATTTTCGATCCCTGCTTCTTACAGGCAGTGTTAATATTGTAGAAATTCCTATGGCAAGAATCCTGACCAATTGAAATTTAACAGTATCCTACTACATAGATCATTTATGGAAAACAATTATATATGTTTCCCTTAATGCATGCACAACACAATGGGGTTTTGAGAAGGAACCAAATCATAGGATGTCCATGCACCATTGTATATACCAACAAGGATGATCTGGTAAGGGGAATAAGTAGACAATAAAGATTAAATTTAATTCTTGGAACAATGAGAATTAGGATTTTGATAGGTATTGATGGAAAAATAAGAGGTTAAGAAGGAACAGAAACAGCACAATAGCAAAACAGCAATCATTGACTACCAACAAAGGGAATATCCAATGATGTTCTTAGCACGCAGAAGGAATTTTCTTGGAGAAATGTAATAAAATTACGAGCACATCTGAGATAAAATCCTTGCTCTACTTGCTGCCATATTTGTTTTTCATCAGTAATGTATTTTAAATATGTATTATTACTAATATTAAAATCATAATTGAGCCTGATATATGGAGCCGTGCTACAATTTTGATTTTATTTAAAATGATTTTTAAAAGAGTTACAGTATCTCGGTGGCAGCAATATATACACTCCAAGTTAATAATCTATTTTACCTTAATAGTATATTCCTGATACATAATCCAAGGAAACAGGTCACCCACACTGTAAAATTCCAATAACAAAAGTTTCCTGAGTTACACAATGATACATTTTTTTTTTCTTTGTTTGGGTTTTTTTGGTGACTGAGGCACTTCTGGAATATATTTAACATGTATATTTGTTGTGCAGATTTGCATAAAAATACCATTTGTCCAGATTGATTTTAAAAGTGTTAAGTTTGTATTTAAAACTGGATAATACTCTGGCTAATATAATATGTAAAGTAGTAATTTTGTTTTGTATTCCCTGTATAAAGTGTTTTATATTATACAGTAGCTAAGTGAATTGCACTATTGTACATGCAGCGCGGCTTTTTTTTTTTAGGTTATTCAAGGAATTCCTGGGAATGTAGTTTAATGCAATAATATTTTTTTTCAATAAAAAGGCTTACCGGTATAAAGAGTGTCAGTCATGTATTTTTAATGTAAAGTATACCAAAAGGCAGCAACATAATAAAATGCAGAATGATGCAAACATATTCTGTATTTTAATCTGCAGAACTGAAATACATTTAATTCATCCCTGTGGCTATAATACTGAAATTTCTTAGAATGTTTCCTAAAGATTTTAGTATGTGTTACAAAAGTGGGTTGTTTAAATGGAACTGAAAATAAATATTCCTTAAAAAAAATATCCTATCTATGTGGTTTTTGCAAGTACTTTTAGTGAATCAACATCCCCCTGGATATTTTTATGAACTAATCAGTTTATTTAGAATTATAACTTGCTTGTCAGATTCCCCAAAAAATGTCTCTGAGATATGATTCCTAATGCTTCTGTAGAAGTTCCTTTGATAAAGAAGCTAACAGTAGGATCCACAAATGTATTATTTACTCACTTTTTAACTATCCTTTAAAACTTACCTTAGTCATGGTAAGAATCTCTTTATCCCATATTTTCCCTTTTACCTTTTATTTTTCCAGTTTGTTCACTGTATCCGTCTCCATCTATCTTTCATTTATATTGTAAGCTTTCTGACAGAAGGCTTTGGGTTTTGTCATATAGGTACTCAGCTTTGGAGGTCCAAGGCACTGCTACTACACTAATAGTAATTGTAAGGCTAGCTATAGCCTTCAGTAGACAGTATCTGAAATTTCATGTCTCCAGGTAATCACAAAGACTGAAGTAATGTAAAAATCAAGTGTCTACATAGGTGCAGGTAATAAATAAAACTCCATCTTTTGAGGCCTGGTGTAACACTGGTCATATTCTATTAGATATGTTTGCACAGCTGGAAATATTTTGGCCAATCTCTGGGACTAAATTAATCTACCATGCAGTGACATCTCTTGACTCCGGCATTCTATAAAATCTTGAAATCACAGCAAATCGACAGAGACATAATCAACACAGTGTATCTAATTCCATTTAACTGTGTTTCTTCATCAAATTGTTTCATAGTAAAACCAAAATTCATAATTGTACAAACTTAAATAAAAAGTGTGATGTGTCTGAAGGAAATCCCCTGTGAATTATCTATACCATTAACTGTTAATTATAGTAGGCATTCAGTTGAGATCAGATCTCACCTGTTTGTTGCTGAACAAACAGTGATACTGTTTTGACTAAGATGTAATAAGTGAAGAAATTAACTTGTCCACACTTTCCTATTCCTGCTAAAGCAAGGTACTAATTACCTTTTCTTAAAGTTTGAATCCCAGATCTGTTTAACACTTGAATCTAAGCTGATTTTTTTTTTTTTTTTTCTATACCACAATTCATCTGTTCAGGCCAAACCTACATTTAGGACTATAACTTCCTTGAGAATGAAAACCAAATGTTTTGCCAGACTTGAAATGTCTCTTATCACCAGATGGAGAGACTTTTTGGAGGAAACAAGTATACATTTTATTTAAATTAAAAATGGAAAGTCCAATAAAGCAGATATTTAGAGATAGTTTAAAAGAAAAGAAAAATGTATTTGTAGCTACTTTTGCCTAAGTTTAGCTTCAAGACACTCTTTTTGCTTCCCTCAGTTCAAATACTGTCTTAATGCAATGTCCAGACTTAGGAAGACCCAGACATTTCCTCCACTCCACAGGTTCTCAACTGGGGAACCGGGTTGTTCTTAGAGATCATGTTTCCCCCTGTGTCTGCTCACGTAGGAAACCTCCCTGCCCTCTGAAGGCTTCTTGGAAGTCTGAGGTGAGCTCTTAGGGCTTCTTCCCTCACAATGCTGAGTACTGAAGCTAAAATATATCTGGCATTTGGGCACAGGCTACGCAGCTTTGTCACCAAGCCAGCCAGAATACAAAACTAATATGATTGGAAAATAGACTAAACTAGACCGTTTTGGTCTGAAGAGACCTACAACGATCATCTAGTCCAATGGCCTGAGCAGTTCAAAGTAAACCAAGTTAAAGTATGGCATTAAGACTGTTGTCCAAATGCCTCTTAAACACTGATAGTCTTGTGGCATCGACCAACTCTCTAGGAAGCCTGTTCCAGTGGGTTTTTAACCGAGTCCAGGTCTTGATAAAGAAATGTTTCCTAATGTCCAGTCTAAACCTCCCCTGGTACAGCTCTGAACCATTCCCACACGTTCTGTCACTGGATACCAGGCAGAAGAGCTCAGCACCTCTGTCTCCACCTCCCCTCCTCAGGAAGCTGTAGAGAGCAGTGAGGTCGCCCCTCAGCCTCCTTTTCTCCAAACTAGACAAGCCAAAAGTCCTTAACCGCTCCTCATAGGACGTTCCTTCCAGCCCTTTCACCAGCTTTGTTGCCCACCTCTGGACTCATTCAAGGACCTTCACATCCTTCTTAAACTGTGGGGCCCAGAACATCCCACAGTACCCCAGGTGAGGCTGCACCAGCGCTGCATCCAGCGGGATAATCCCCCCTCTTCTGACCGGCTGGTTATGCCGTGTTTGAAGCACCCCGGGATGGGGTTTGCCCTCTGGGCTGCCAGGGCACACTGCTGACTCCTACTGAGCCCGCTGTCAACCAGCACCCCCAGATCCCCTGCTGCAGGGCTGCTCTCCAGCCACTCTTCTCCCATTTTACACTTATGCCCACCATTACGCCATCCTAGGTGCAGAATCAAGCATTTGACTTTCTAATTTTCATTCCATTAATCATTGGGACACACTGTTATGATGTGCTTGAATGTTTCTCTGTCCTAGGGCTGAGGGGAATTAACTCATTTAACATTTCAGGTCATGGAAATACTCTCACTGCCTTTAGGGCCATCAGACTGAGACTTAAGTCAACACGTTACTTGTCTATAAAACATGCAGAACTTTTAAAATACTTTTTATTATTCTTCAGTAAACTCATTATTTTCTTTAACAGAAAACAGAGAAGCAGACAAATAGCCAAATTGCAAAAATTATAAACAGAAACAAATCTACAGTTACAGTAATGGGTATTTATTCTAAATATCTGCTGCTTAACAGTGACCAATTTGTTTTGTGAATGTGCTTAGAAGTGCTCTTGACTGAGATATCAAGCAGTAGATACATGACTGTCTTAAAAGAAGACTCAGCCCAAACTCATTTTTTATGGTCTAGCTATAAACCTCTCAAAATAAAGATAAGGTTGAAAAGCTTGATAGACTTCTACCAAGCAGAGTAAGCAGTTCTGCTGCCTCTATTTAAGTGCACATCTAAAACTTATATTACACACAAAAATCAATATTTCATTCTTATGAACCAATAAACTTTTTAGACCAAATAAATTTGTCATTTGAAAATCAATAAATTAAATGTATTTATCAATTTTATATATAAAACTGTTCCATGTACTCCAAATTGTGTATATGTGCAAATCAGCAACATTAATAAATAAATCATTGTGAAAGGAATGAACCAATTAGTCTCAGACAGCCATAAACCAACTATTTCTATATAAAGGAATATGTTATATACAAAAATGGTTGAATTATAATTTGCTTTCTTCTTTTTTGTATGTAATTTATGGGCTGCTTTCTGCCAGTCCCAGTGAGAAACCCTACAGAATTTAATAGAAATAGTTGTGTGTGCATGCTGTGAAGGGAGTTTGTGTCTTCTTAAAGATGTACAATTGCATCTAATAGAAACTATTTTCCCTGACATAGAATTCTGCAAGTAAATCAAAGGAAATATGTACAGGCAGGAAATCTCTTTAATCAATTGTTGCATACCTTCATGGATGAAATACTGCAGAGTTCCCAAAACAGGGAGTCTTCTTTCCCCTGTCCCTCATACTTTGAAGGTGTAAACTGCGGAGGAAATGCTTATCTGTCAGCTGTCCACATTGTTATGAAGTGGAAAGTCCTATCTTCATCAGAGAAGGTGAAAACAGTAGAAAAGTTTACTCCTTGCTTATGCCAGAATTGATCTGAGAAGGTTTCAGTCTTCTTAAGAATGTACACTGTTTTCAAGTGAGTTTGCTTTCTCCAGAGGGCTGGAGCACCTAGGGTTGCCAAATTTTAAGAACTTAAGTATACTAAGAGAAAAATTAACACAACATATTGTTTAAGCTTCTAGTTGTCACCTGGGACAAATTTGCTGTTCACAGAGGACTGGATTTTTTCTGTCTTATCCATAGCATGCAACCAATACCTGAAGTACACAGGAAAGTTTTCAGGACTATATTATATTCCTCTCTCTCTCCCTGAGACACCTTAGAAACTGGCTGTGAAAAAAAGCTGACAATTAAATGAGATGATGCTTGATTTATTTTTAGTTTACTAGTAGTTTCATGAAAGGTGTCTGTAACTTAAAATACTTAATCTTTTTTATTAATATCATCTGTCATTACAGTATTGGTATCTACTGCTGACATATTGTAAATTTAATCCTTAGCAATGCGCTTTCTCCCCATGAGTCTCCCTCTCTTAGTTCTGTTCTGTGACTGTATTTTTTCAAATGCTAAATTCCCTGGTTTTATATTTTTAAATAATGTGTTAGATAAGCAGTTCTTATACGATTTTTATTGTATATTATATGGGTCAGGGTGAAGTATAATAATGAATTTTATTATGAGTTATGATCAGAACTTATGAGTTGAAAATAATTTTGTCTTTCATCTCAATGTTGCCAGCCCCTACTAGCTCTTCACAAGAGAGATTCACAGATGCTGAGGGCTGGTGAGGGTATCAAAATGGAAGAGCAAAAGAAAACAAATGAGCACAAGGGCTGCCTGTGAATGATAAAGGTAAAAGAGAGGCCATGTGCAAGTCTGAAGAGCAATGTCAGATTAGTGACACCTGGACAAAAGGCTCTGTTAATGCCAGAGGGTGCAGAGAACACCAAGGAAAGGTTAGATTCATGATGGATAAAGCTAGAGAGGTTTGCAAGCTCAAATACAACCTCAGAAGAGCAGCTGTAATTACTAATATCAATAAAATTAATACAAAAATTACTGATGGATTTTTTTACCCATGGTAGGCTGTAACTTTTGCAAAAATGATATCT